TTAGCCTTATTTCCTAGTCTTTGTCTGGTTATGGGCTTAGGGTAGAATCAATTATTCGACGGTCTATCGAATCCAACATTATGTATGATTAGCATACACAATGCAACTAGAAAGTTAGTGAAAGTTTCATGAGTTGAGTGCAATTGTTAGCGAGCCAGAAAAAGTAAGGAATTGAGTGCTACTTTTAAGAGATAAGACATAGGATGTATGCGTATCCTACTTCCTTGGGGCCTAGTGACTAGGAATTTGTAGCGATCCTCTAACAAAAATACGGGTAGATATGGAAGATAGCATGGGCCCATACTATTGGAAGCATAAGACATGTATACGTATCGAGGAAGTCACAAGTTCTGAGGAATAAGTGATAGAGTAGTGATGTGCTAGAGTATAATGCGTTCTATGACGTGTTCTGGTTTAGTGTTTTTAGTATGGTGATTACAAGAGGTTTAGGATCAGATCCTGATGGCCCGAAGAGGCCAGGTTGGGGTGACGATGAGATCCGTGTGTTGATCACTACTCTGGTGTTTGGATCTATCAAGACCACTCTGATTGAGATGTTTGATTAGCGTTATGTTGCTACCACATCCACTGTAGCCATCGTGGCTGGATGAATTCAGGGAGGAGGGTTTGTGCAGTACCGAGAGTTCAACAACATGAAGACCCCTGAAGTTCGACGAGGTCGAGGACCTGATTGTTTCTATGAGATGGATATCCAATGTTGAAGGGTGTTTTTACACATGTTCATGTCTAGAGAATCAGAAGGTGAAGTTTGCACTGAATCTTCTTCGTCTAGGGGCGAAGGATTGGTGGAAGTTTGCCACTCACTGTCTTTCTATTGTGTAGCGGGCCACGATGACATGGGAGCAGTTCGCTAAGATGTTTCGTGATGAGTATGTTCCACTGGTTGAGAGGGAGAGGTTAGTGCAGGAGCATCTGTCATTGAAGCAGACGACATAATCAGTGATGTGGATCACCAAGATGCTTACTGAGATAGCCCTTTTCTGCCCCAAGTATGCTGCTTCAGAGTAGGTTCAAATGTCATGATACTTACGTATGCTCAAGACTGAGATTTGGGAGTTTGTGTCGATTCAGCAGTATCGTTCCCTTTCAGAGTTGCATTCATTTTCCCGGAGGAATGAGATTAAGATTGAGTTATAGGCGAAGGAGAAGAGGAAGGCCCCAATTCAGAATCAGGCAATAGCCAAGCGATTCAATCCTATTGATTTTCGTTCAAGAGGAAAAAGGGGCCGCACTTGTGGCAAGTGCGGGAAGGTGTATGATGGAGTTTTTCGTTCAGCAACCGGATGCCACAAATATGGCAAGGAGGGCCATTTTTATAGAGATTGTCAGCACCAGCAGAGCACCCGAGTTTGTTATCATTGTGATTAGGTTGACTATGTGAACACCAAATTTCCATTACTTGTTGCTAGTCCCCTGCAGGCACTGGATCCTACTACTATTCAGATCACTGATAGACGTCAGGGGAGGGCTGAGGGCCCGAATGCTAGGGGTCGTATGTTCCAGCTGACTGTAGAGGAGGCTAGGGTGGCGCCCGACGTCATTACTGGTATGTATTCATTTATAATTCTATCAAGTTAAATTTATGAATGCTTATATTTATGCTTTTGATAGGTACCTTCTTAGGGAATTCATTTCCTACTCTTGTGCTTTTTGACTCTGGTGCGAGTCGGTCATTTGTGTCTCAGTCTTTCAATATAGAAATTAATATAACCCTTAGGGAGTTAGAGTGTCCGCTGCGAGTTTCCATCGCCAAAGAACACATGGTCTATGCTTCAATCATTTTCCACGGCTGTACTTTGGAGATATTCGGGGTGCCCTACTCGATTAACCTGTTTCCCATCCCTATGGGAGATGGATGCGTGATCGTAGGGATGGATTGGCTGAGCAGATTTGGAGCCATGATTAATTATGAGTGACAGCTTGTGGTGGTTCGAACCCCAAGTGGGGGAGAACTAACCATTTATGGTGAGGCTACCCGGGTTGGTTCAACTTTTTGTTCGGCTGCTAGGGCTAGGCAGTATTTCCAACAAGGATGTTCAGGTTATGTCACGTATGTGGTTGACACTCGAGTTGAGGGGAAGAAGTCAGTTTCGGATGTGCCAGTGGTTAGAGAGTTTCGAGATATTTTCCCAGAGGAATTACCCGGCGTGCCTCCCGTAAGGCAGGTGAAGTTTAGAATTGATCTGATCCTGGTGTTGCCCTGGTAACTAAGGCTTTGTATCTGTAACACCCAGTTTCCAGAATGGATCGGTTTAGGGCCTCAAGGAGCAAAGGCACAAATTTTGGGAAAAATCAAGTGTCACGACATGACCATAGGGAGGTCACGACGTGGCAAGTGAACAAAATGAAATGCAGATACAACTGAGCTCACGACGTGATACATAGAGTGTCACGACATGAGAGTGCTTGCAGCACAAGCCTACGAATATTTAGGTTTCTCTCCTTACTTAAGGACCTTATCTCGTGACCTAAGATATCTTCTTCAGCCTCCACTCCATTCAAACGAAACCCTAGCCCCATCCATGAGTTCTTGAGTGTTTCAGGGTGTTTTGGTGACTTGAAAAAGAAGGGATCATATTTGGTGCATAGATCCAACTTGCAAGCTTCATTAGCATCTTTTAGTAACCCCTCTGGACCCTTGTGAGTATTCAAGCTTCATGCTTTATGGTTCTTTGTTGCTAAATCTAGAGTTTTATGCATTATGGTTCATTGTTAGATGTGTTAGAGTGTTGGGATTTCATAAAGTTGGCAACTTTATGGGTCCTTAAAGTCCCTTGACGATCATATATGATAGATATGAAGTTTGGGTGATGTTTGAGCTGATACTTGAGGTTTTGACCTCCTTTTCTTCATAAACGACCTAATTTGAGCTCACGTCTTGCATTGGACATGCAAGACCTTAAAACATCGGTGTTTATGGCTTTTGGGGTGTAAGGAAGCCTTCTGGAGGAGATGGATTCGTGGCTCAATGGATTAAGAGCTTAATTCATTAAGTTACCCTTTAGACAATTCTCACGATGTGAGAAGGTGCCTGTTACATGGTGAGGATTAAAGTTTTGCGTCTATTTTCCCTTTTAGCTGGTCACGACATGACCAATAGAGTGTCACGTCGTGAGGAACAGTTAAACTGTTGACCGTTGACTTTTGTCGACCGTTAACTGTTGACTTTTTGACAGTTTGACTTTGATTCAAACTTGAAGGATTTGGGTTGTTGATTAAGATTCTACCATGTTTTGGTGCAAGAAAATGAAGTTCATGTCTTGTGATAGGATTCACAAGCTAGAAATCACAAGCTTTCCTCTATAAGAACAGATTATTCATTAATCAATGTTTTCTGTTATGTAAGAATGGACAAATTAATGGAATGAATTTAATAAAAAATGACAAAAATACCACCAACACAAATACTTTTTTTGTTGGCGTAAATCATAACCTGGTGCTAAATAACACAAAGATGGACACAAATTTAAAAAAAAAAAAAATAAATAAAATAAATCTACTTAATTTATAATCTGATACAGTGATAGACACAAACACTTTTTCTCAACATTTTCAACTACTTTCAGATAACACAATAATGGACACAAATAATTTTTTTCTCAACCTTTTTCGTCTTATTGAGCAATTGGGAAATTAGCCTTTAAAGTTTAAACATATATTATTTTTATCTTAATCAACATCCACCATGTTTTGTTTTATTATGTATGAATTGAAAGTGCATAAAAACAAATATAAAAGTGAAAGTTGTCTTTTTTTTATTTTATTTTATTTTATTTATTTAAACTTGTCGTGTTAAAAGGAGAACTCGTACTAGCAGGTATCTATAATTTATAAAACTAAAACTTTCAGGATTATGTTAACTCAAATCTATGCAGAACTCAACACATATATCTAGCAGTAACTCAAAATCAATCAACAAGCCACAAAGAAATCGATCAATAACCAATCAACATTCCTTAGCTTCAGGTTAGATGCTCTGCTTAGGTGTGATGTAAAAACAGGGGAACTCAAGTTCCATGATTTTATAATTAAATAGGGAAACATAAAAATCAAGCAGCAACGCAAAAAAAATGAGTGAAAAGAGTAACTAAAAAATAAGTATGATTTATTATAGAAATCGTTCGAAGTTGCGGACTTGTGAAAAAATAAAATCGATTTTGTTGCTGATAATTTGGAGAGGACATGATTATCTACTAAGATTTTCATGGGGATAGAGGCTAAAATTGGAACATGTTATTCAAGGTGGGAATGGAATGGGATTGAATTAAAAACAGGTTGCAAGCCAAGAATGAAATTGACGCCGTTTGAGAGAATGGGATTCCGTTTGTAATGCTTCTTTTCTTTCCTGCAAGCTACAAACGTGTACAAAGTCATTCCCCCTCAATGATCAATCCTCTCCTTAGCTCCTTCATGCATACAGCATACCAAGCGCCCCCTCAAATTTTAAAGCTTTCAATAATGGTATAATCAAGGTTCTTAGATTAAAAATAATAGTAATAATAAATAAAAGCTTTAAAGTCAACATGAAGATAATACGTTTATACTCGAAACAGATCCATTCCCACTTACCTTCCATATATAATTAAATAATGACGATTCTTATCTTAAATAATAATAATAATAATAATAATAATAATAATAATAACTTAATTAAGGTCTACACGCGAAAATAGTATATGAGTATATCCATTCCCACTCCATATATAATTAAAAAATTAGCGGAGGAGGATGGTTCCCACTTCCCACTTACCTTCGATATGTGTGTTCTACTTAGTTTTCCCTTGTGTAGAACTTTTTTAATTCTTTGGCTCTATTAGTTGATTATTCAACTACATTTTATTCGTTCCATTTCCCTCTTCAACATGTGACATCTAATCTAGTTATGGTTGAATGTTGAACTTGGTGATGGCCTATATAATGAACACTGAACATTAAACATTACACATCCACAAGCAATTGAAGTATTAAACCTTTCTTTCATGGCTCCATACATGAATCACTTTAACTTGTTGCAAACCATCTTCCTTTTATACTTTTTTTTCAAATTCAAATGCAGTGGATCATCACTAAGCCCTGATGAGGAATGCTCAGCCTTGTATCAGTTCAAGCAAAGCATAATTCATCAAGATGATCCAACTTGTGCTGCTAGTTGGTTTCAAACGTTCCACTCTTGGAAGCCCACTAGCAATGCATCAGATGCTGGTTTTGATTGTTGTTCATGGTATGGGGTGGAGTGCAGAAATGACCATGAGAATGGTCATGTGATCGGCCTTGACTTGAGCGAAAGCTTTCTTTGTGGTTGTATCAACTCTACCAGCACCCTCTTTAGCCTTGTTCATCTTCAGAGCCTCAACCTTGCATGGAATGACTTTAGTGAATCTCAAATCCCATCTGAGATTGCTGGTCTAAAGCAACTAAGAAGCCTCAATCTCTCTGCTTCTGGGTTTAGTGGCCAAATCCCGAATGAAATCTCTCAGCTGATACAATTGTCTTCTTTAGATCTATCACAGAATCTTCTAAAGTTTCAAAGTCCTAGTGGCCTCAAGAATCTAGTTCAAAACTTAACAGGACTCGAAGAACTCCATCTCTCAGGGGTTGACATTAGTTCTTCCGTACCACATTTCTTGGCCAACTTTTCTTCTTTGAGGTCAATCAGGCTACAAAACTGTTTGCTTGAAAATGAATTCCCTGCAGCCATTTTTCAGCTACAGAAGTTGAAAATTCTTGATTTGTCATTCAATACCAATCTTACAGGTGCCTTTAGCGAATTTCGTAACAGCAGCTTACTTGAATTTGTGAATCTACGTTCAACAAGTTTCTCCGGGATTGTACCAGAATCCATTAGCAATCTAAACAATTTCAGAGTCTTGTCCCTTGGCGATTGCACTTTCTCAGGGCATATTCCAGGTTCACTCTCCAACATGACAAAACTCACTTACTTGTCTCTTGGTAATAATAAGTTCACAGGCTTTGTTCCTTCATTGGAAAGTCTTTCGAAACTCACCATTTTAGATCTCAATGGTAACAGATTTGATAAGGGAGTCTTGCCCAACTGGCTTGGCATGTTGGCTGAACTTAATCAATTAGATACATATGGTATGAACATAAACGGTGAAATACCATCTTTTCTTGCAAACCTAACCAAACTTACTTTTGTTTCAATGGGAAAAATTCTTTTACCGGTCATATACCATCCTGGTTTATCAACCTTACCCAACTAAGATCGTTAGACCTTCAACACAATCAAATGCAAGGACCCATTTCAAGCTCATTTTCCAACTTTAAAAATCTTCGATTTCTTCAGTTTAATTACAATAATTTCAGTGGAAAGGTAGGGTTAGACATGTTCCTAGGACTCAACAAACTTGAAAGTCTCATCTTAGGTAATAACAAGATATCATTAGTGCCCACCAACAACTACACCAATAACACCTTACCAGAACTTAAACACCTAATACTCTCATCATGTAACTTGAAGGAATTCCCTGCCTTTTTGCGTTTCCAAAATAAAATGGAACTCTTATTTCTCGACCGAAACAAGATTGATGGCATGGTACCGGTGTGGATTTGGAACAACAGCAAGGAAACATTACAAGCGATTGACCTTTCCAACAACTACATCACCGGCTTTGATCAGCATCCTATATTTCTGCCATGGAAAAGTTTACAAGCATTTTCGATCAAGAATAATCAGTTCCAAGGTCAGCTACCAATTCCACCACAAAACACTGTAGTTTATTCAGCAGAAAATAATCATCTGACTGGAGAAATACCAGCATTAATTTGTGAAGTGAAATCTCTTCAAGTGTTAGATTTGTCGTCTAACAACATGAATGGAACTCTTCCTCCATGTTTTGGTGACTTAATCAATTCGTTGTTGACTTTGGATCTGGGACGAAATAACTTTCATGGCACATTAATGATGAATGTGTTTATGCATGGCAGCCAGTTGGAAAGTATTGATTTGAGCGAAAATCACTTTACGGGTCAGCTGCCAAGATCATTGACAAATTGTACCAATTTAGAGGTTCTCTCTCTTGGAGATAACTCTTTTGATGACGTCTTTCCTTTTTGGCTGGGAACTCTTGCCAAGCTGCAAGTTCTCATCTTACGGTCCAACAAATTATATGGTCCAATTCAAGGTTCGACAACAGTTTGCTCACATTTCCCTAAGTTGCGGATCATTGACCTCTCTAACAATGGTTTTGGTGGCGAACTGCAAGCAAAGTACTTTCAAAATTGCAATGCCATGAGAGTGGGTTATGGTGAATCATCAGTTATGGAATCTGGTATGTCCTTTGAACATTTCATGTCCTCGGTGCCATACACGATGACATTAATACACAAAGGTGTCAGAACAAAATATGAAAAGATTTTAACAATATTCACGGCTATTGATCTCTCTTGTAATCATTTCGAAGGAGAAATCTCACTATCCCTCCAAGATCTTCGAGGGCTTCAAGCACTCAATCTTTCTAACAATCATTTTACAGGACGCGTCTTGCCATCATTAGGGTACCTAACAAATCTTGAATCGTTGGATCTCTCACGAAACGAGCTATCTGGAGAAATCCCTCAACTATTGGTACAACTTAACTACCTTTCCATTTTCAACGTGTCATACAACCATCTTGAAGGGCGCATTCCCCAAGGGCAACAATTTAACACATTTGATAACAACTCCTATGAGGAGAATCCTGGGTTATGTGGAAAACCTTTATCCAAGGAATGTGGGAATTTAAAGGCATTAAGACTTCCACCAGCAAGAAATGCATCCGATTCTCTCCTCCCAAGCGAACGAATTGATTGGATAATCATATTCTCTGGAGTTGGAAGTGGGCTGGTTGTTGGGATTTTTATTGGCAACTCTTTACATACAAAGTATAGTGAACGATTCGGAAAGAGGAAGGACAGATGGGTAAGGCCACTCCGTAACACAAGGAGATCAAACCAAGTACAATAATTTGTTTTATTACCTTACAACTTTATAGCAATTTTCCATGAAAATAATTTGTTATGTGTACGTGGTATCAACCCCTCAACCAAATTGAAAATGCATCCAGAAAAATATATGACTTTCAAAAGGATTATTTTTTAAATTGTCCTTTTAAAAAAAAAAATACACTAGTTAGTAGTTACATTGTTTTTGTGAGATTATCTGTAATAAATACATTTCTCAACTTTGTCGTATTAACAATTAATTTAAGTTTGCCATCATTTATCAAAAAATTTAGTTACGTTATAGGTCTTGAGATATTAATTTTAGCTAAAGAAAAGGGTATAATTAACATATATTTTAACTTTAAAATACTAAACAAGATATTTTTTTTTACTTAAACTTGTATATGCTTTGTGCACAAGTATATGATGTCGGTCTATGTTTTCCGCCTCATATTTACTCATAATACATTTAACTGTTAACATATATATGTTTATTATAAGCCCACTTGCTTTGGGCTCCTTTTATCTTTAGCCCATTAGGGTTAGGGTTAGTCTCCCTTTATTTTCCCCGTCTACTTGTTCTTTTTTTTTCACTCTTTTCAGAAAGGCTAGTGACCCAACAAGGCCAAAAATCCTAATAGTGCAAATATGGTCCAAACTGCAAAGCCCAAGACCAGGCCTGGTACGCTGCGCGTACCTGGAGTGCGGCCGACATACTAGGTCGCTTTCCTGATCGGGGACTCGAATGTGTACATACCTATTAAGCACCTTTTCCCTTACGCACTTAGTGCTTACAACCAGATGTCCAAACATTAGATCCAAGCCTAGGGGAACGTCTCAATTCATAAAGTCATTAACCTGGAACCTTTACATGGCTCAAAAGAACTTAAAACCTAAATTTAGCATCTTACTTTCACCAAATGGCCATAAATACATGCATGGTTGATCTACAACCATTAAGATGCTAACTTTATGCACTAGGGATCTCAGAAACATCAAGAGAAGCAACTCCTAACTTCTTGAGTGGAAGAATTTCCACTAGATCTCATTCATGGGACCAAAAGTGACTGAAACTCCATAAACACTAGATCTAAGCATACAATGAGCAAGTTCCAAGCTTTATACCTTTATGAAGCTAGAAATGATAAGTAGAATCTTGATATGCGTGCTCTCCCTTGGTCAAAGCTCCATCTTCAAGATTCTTCTTCCTCAAGGCTCACCAACACACACTAAAACACACACAAAGAGGGTCAAATCTTCTCTAAAGGGGTTAGGGTTTTGATGAGCCTCAAAGGGTAATGGAGGCTGAGAAATGAGGGGGTCATTGGTCATAATGTTGCTTAATAGGGTCCAAACCCCAAAATTTAGGTTTTATCCCCTGGGTGCGTACACCCAACATACGAGAAGTACGCCTAGCGAACTCCCACTTTTCCGAAAATGGCAACAATGCCCCTAGGGACCAAATTTGCAAACTATTTACACACCAAGGGTCAAAAATGAAAAGTACCTTGAATCGGGTGTTACAATTCATCCCCACTTGAATTAGACTTCGTCCTCGAAGTCTGATGCCGCAAATAACACAGGGTAATGCTCCATCATCTCGTCCTCAAGCTCCTACGTCCATTCAGAACCCTTTTTGTGCTGCCACTACACCTTTACCAAATCCACCACCTTGTTTCGTTGAGCCTTCGTCCACCTGATAAGGATCACCACTGGTCTCTCTATATAATTCAGGCGATTATCCACCTAAATGTCCTCCAATGGAACCACTACGAAATCATCAACCAAGCACTTTCGTAGCTAAGAGACATGAAAAGTGCTACGAATCTTGACTGAGCTCCTCCGACAGATCTAAACGATACGTCACCCTCTCCACCCGTGCTAAAACCGTGCAAGGACCTATGTACCCGGGGTCCAACTTTCTCCGCTTCCGGAATCGGATGACACCTTTCCAAGGTTAGACCTTTAGGAGTACCATATCTCCAACCTCAAACTCTAAATATGATTGGCGTCTGTCTGCGTAGCTCTTTTGTCGGCTATGTGTTGTCTAAAGTCTGTCGCGGACCTGCTGAATCAATTTCGTCGTCTTGAGTACCACCTCGGTACTTCCCATGACTCGTTGACCAACCTATCCCCAACAAACCGGGGTCCTACACTTCCTCCCGTAGAGCATCTCAAAAGGAGGCTGATCATTGCTGACGTGATAGCGGTTGTTTTACAAAAATTCCGCCAAAGGAAGATATGTATCCCAACTACCACCAAAATCTAGTATACATGCCCCCAGCATGTCCTCCAATGTGTGGATAGTCTACTCACTCTGACCATCAGTCTACGGGTGGAAAGCCATGTTGAAGTGTAAACGAGTGCCCAACTCCTCGTGGAATCTCTTCCAGAACCTAGAAGTAAACCGAACATCTCTATCAGAGAGCACATAAACCAGCACTCCATGCTATGTCACTACCTCACGAATGTAGATATCGGCCAACTTCTCTTTCGAAATACTCTCTTGAATCAGAATGAAATGCATGCTCTAGGTCAATCGATCCACGGTAACCCGTATCGAATCTACACCGTGCGCCGTCCGAGGCAAATTTGTGATAAAATCCATCGTACTCCCTTCTATTTCCAAACGGTGTAACAACGTAAATTTCAAAACAAATTTTTGATTTTAAATCATATAACCTTCACATCACATTTCATAAACTCGTTTATTTATTTTACAAAACACAATCCCTCGTTAGTTACTTATTAATCTAGGATCTTCGAAACATAATTCTTTCTCTGATGTGTACAATCATGCCAGTGTCGTCCCGCGATTCTGAGGAAACCTGAAACACATAACACATAACACGGTAAGCACGAAGCTTAGTGAGTTCCCCAAAATACCACATATAACACATATTAGTCACTCGAGGGTATAACTCTGTGGACCCTCTGGTCCTAACTCTGTGGACCCTCTAGTCCTAACTCTGTGAACCTTCCGGTTCCAACTCTGTAAACTCTGGAACACACACAGCATAAATCACATAGAAATAATGCAGTGCATCACAATCACATAAATAGCATACAAGACACTCTGTCATATAACTCTAATTACCACTCTAGGTAAAGTATAGTGAGAAGACTCACCTCGGGTAACTCGTTAAATCTCGAACTCGGTAAAAATTTGGTCTAGCCTCCGCCTAATCACATGGAATAAGTACTCTAATCAATACAACTCTCAAGGCTAGACTAATCCCTCTCTTAGCACTCTCAGAAGGGTAAAAGACCATTTTACCCCTCTCATGGCTCAAAGACCCAAACATTGACCAAACCCTAAAAGTCAACAAAAGTCAACTCTTCGGGTTACGCTGCGCGTACCAAACCTGTATGCTGGGCGTACCCGGCAACCTCACAGAATCGGGGAACGCGACCCCCTACGATGCGCGTACTGGGATTACGCCCCGCGTAAGCCTCTTAATCCATAAAGTTGGTGACTTTAGGCCTTTGCATGGCTGTAAGAGTCACCAACACGCAAATCATTCCACTTCCAACACTTTAAAGCCCATAACTCAAACATGACTCCCCAATGACGACCAAGTTGGGATTTTTATGGATCTACAACACACATATCACTGAAATGGGACAGATCTATGTCCATGGAGCCCCTTATGCTCATAAAGTCTCCACGTTTGGGACTTAAACCCTAGAAATGGACCATGAAACACCAAACCAAAATAAAGAGGAAAGTTCTGAGCTTTTTACCTCTAAGTGAAGCTCCTTCCTCTGAAGAACTCAGATCCAAGCTTGAACTCCAAACCCTAGCCTCTACAAGCACCTCCCCTTCTTCTTCACTGACACACGAAGGCAATTTTAGCTCAAAACACTCACACACAAGCTTTAGGACGAAGGAAATGCTCTCTTAGGGTTTCTCTCTGTGAAATGGTGGTTGAGGATAAGGCCATATCATTCTTTATATAGTGCACAACTCTCATTTAGGGTTTGCATCTGGACCAGTTACGCCCAGCGTAACTTTGGTACGCCCAGCGTACCTTAAAGAGTCCGCGTCCATTTCAAGCGCATGAGTACGCGCAACGTACTCTCCAGTACGCCCAGCGTACTCATTTGCAACATTTTCCACTCAGGGACCAATCTTGACAACTTGACAAAAGAGAAGGGTTAAATAGTTGTACCGAAATTTCGGGATGTTACAATTCTCCCCCACTTATTTTGATTTCGCCCTCGAAATCGCTCCTTAAACCACACATAGATTGAATTCAACAACCCGAAAGGCACCACCAAAAGGATCTCATGCCGCACCGAAACTTTTCCATGGACACCTGAAAACACACAGAAAACTCCCAAATCCATAACTAATCCAACCCTTCTGCCTCTAATATACTCCTTCTCAAAATCTGGTAACTCTGGTGGCCTGACAGCCGTCAGATCGCCTACTCAAGCGATCACCATGATATTCGCTCCTCGAATATCAAACCCTGATAACTCACTGGTCCTTTGATTCTCACAAGACCAATTCCAACAATCGGCTACCGTTCACTCATACCAAACATGCCAAATGATCTAATCACGCCCCAAGAAACGGGAGGGTTCACACCCCACCGGGGCTCATCCACTAAACTGCTATCAGACCCCATCCGAACAAAGAATCCCCAAAACTCTGTCCTCAGACATAATAGAATAACCATGCTCGCTTAGAAGTGTCCTCAGACATCACCATGATAAGCTCCAGTTTCGTTTCTCATATCCCTTTTCAATACTGAGCACCAGATCAATTCCTGAGTCCATCGATGAACCTCCAAAGGTCACCCATAACATGTCCTAAAATGTCTCACTGACTCCTTCCCTACAACAACTATCTTGGCCCAGTGACACACAAATCACGAAGTTCTCTTTACCCCAACAGCTACCACATTCCCGCACCAACGAACTGACCCACCCCGTTCTAAAACATCAGAAGACAAACAATACTCCTCAAAATGGATTCCCTCTCAGAATCCGCAGTCTTCTCTCGTCTACTCAATG